CTAGTTCTTTGTTTCCGACTATCTCTCGGACACTTCCCTATCCCTTGAAGTCGGAGAATAAAATAGTCGATAATAAAAATCATAGATGCCTAGTAAATTCATATATAGACACACACACACATATCAAATCAACGCCCCCCCCCCCCCCCCCCCCCCTTTCCCGACACTTTCCTAAAAACGTCACGAGTTCCCGTTCCAGTGCCACCGATGCAGGATAGAACGGCGGTGGTTCCCATTCCTCCTAAAGGAGCGCGTTCTAAGAACGTCGTTCCCTGAAACACTGTTCCGCACAACACTGGTCTCAATCGGCGTCGTAAAGACAATGTAGCTTAAGACATATTTCTTTAATGCAAAATGACTTAGATGATGAGGAGCGTGCGGTGCTTTGTTCCACCTTACGACCGACCGCATCGGGCGCAACAGGTCATCGGAGCTAATCCAATTTCGTATCACTGTCACGTGACCTTAGAGGGAGGAGACACTGACCAGTTGGAAGCGTAAAGGCCCATGCAAACGCAGACGGCTGCAGAATGTAGCGAAGAGCGCTTGCGCCAAGCTTGTACGCACAGTTGTGCGCCGTCGACCGCTGTCAGGATCCAGTGCGGAGCGCGAGTTCGTCTGCTTCTTTTGTAGGGGTTGTGATGACGTCAGAACGCCGAGTTCTGTATGAAGGATAGTGGGTAGACCTCAACGCAAGCTGCCTTGAGGTCTATCCACTATCCTTCAAACAGAGCCAATCAGTGCTCGGCGTTCTGACGTCACCACAACCCCTACAAAAGAAGCAGACGAACTCGCGCTCCGCATAAGAACATGTCATCGTCGTTAGCGGCTTACCAATGGTAAGCGAAATCTACGACAACATTCGTGCACCCGGTGACAGCGTTGACGCGACCGGTCTTCTTGGGCGATCCCTCTAGTCAACCCGACTTCTGCCCAGCTTGAACCATCGCAGCCTTCGAAAAACTTGAACCGCAGTGCCACCGAGATGCGGGTGACTTTTGTCGCCATTCGTGCTGCTCAGACATTGCACAAACATATACAGGAAAAAGAAGTTATTGCGACAACCAAAGCGGTGAAACAAGCGACGCTCTGCTGTTACGAAGGCTCGAGGAGCGAGAGTGGCCGGGTAGCTCGTACTTTGTCATCTCGGCAGACAGTTGTTTCTTAACAATTTTTTTGACAGTGATAGCTGTTATGGGCTCTTCTCCTCATTCGAAATGATGATGTTCTATGTCGTCGGTAGTCACTTGACGTCATGGCGTCACGCGACGTCACAAAGATATTTGGCGTCACTGTTTCATGTCACGTCATGGCGTAGCATGGCATCACGCAGTCAAGTGATACGGTGTCACATAACAACGTGGTTTCACGTGACTACGCTAGTGGTCACGTGACATCATCTACCTAGGTACTTTTATAGTTAGCGATGGTTCGCCCGTGCTTATAAGGTGCAAGGTGCATAGAGGCAAGACACGTAAGAATACACTAGGGTCCGCTAAGATGTCGCAGCTGTCGCTGTGTCTGTACTGTGGATTCACACAGGGCTGCTCATTTCTATGGTTATTTATTTCAAAAGCGCTTTGTATATTGACTGGTTTGCGGGGCATTCGCAAAATACCCTTTTTGTTTTGAACCTTTAGTAAATAGATCGTTTTTCTTTTGTAATTTTAGTAAATATACCGTTTTTCTTTTGTACTTTTAGTAAATATACCCTTTTTAGTTAGTTGCCCTTAATAGAGATTACTCGAAACATTTCGCTGCGTTTTACGGCTTTTTTTTTTTCTAGCCAGTTTTTACGAAAACAAACATGCTAAGGAAAACCTTTTTTTTTTTAAATTTAAACACGCCGTAATAAATTTTGGAACCACGCTCGCATGTCGATGTATTTTTGCGATAACAAAAGTTCTATTACGATAGCAGAATACCTTTTTTTTAATACTGACGTTTATTAACCTTACCAGTTGGGCGTCTTAGAAGCTACGGGGTCTAGAAACTTCCGAAGACGATAACATATTAACAAACAAAATATGAATTGATGTTTTCAAAAAGAAAGCCATGAACAAACCCCGTGTACGCTCTCACGCCCGAGGCACAGCATCGGCCTTTAAAAAAGACGCGCTTCGGGAACTGTTCAATCTTTCGATCCGTAAATCGTAGACGCGGTCGGTCAATAACACCTAGAAGACAAAATGGCGCGCACATTTCCGCCAAAACGTCATCACCACAAATGATGACGTCATTCATGACGTCATCGTTAATGCGTCCAGCGGAAAACCCGACGTTGATGACGTTTGATGAGATTTGGGCGAAAAGCGCAGGTCTTGGCTTGGTGTGGCCTCAGATATATCTAATTCCCAATATGTGTGCGGGATTGCAGCGCCACCTGTCGTGCTCCCTTGTACTAGTCTCTTCTGGTGTCGACTGTACTTTTATATAGCGAGAAATTACTTGCGGAACAAAGTAGAGATTATAGTACATATCAAGTGCAGGAGATAACGAGGAAAGATTGGATCGAGACAATCAAGGAGCTCAATTCGAACGATCTTGGCACGTTGTCTGGTGTGCATATCGTGGCATGCATCAAGTGGCTTTAGTATACTATGTAGCGTGCATAATTATGGGGAGTGAACCGGATGAGTGAACGTCGAGTGAGTGAGCTATGAAGCTGTGTCCTGTTTTCACCCGTCATAGACACCTGTTTCCTCTTCCGAATGGAAGCCATAATGCACGTGTTAATCCGAAAGTGGAGGTATTCCAATGGGCACCATTTTTTTGCGAGCAGCAGTGAGCAGTCTCATTTAAAATTGCGAGAGAAGCATCACGTCGCTGCCCCAACGCAGAAGAACTATTCTTTTTCGAGAATACGCGTGACGAATGTTCTGGTAAGCGTACTTACTGTTGGTCTTTTCAGCTGCCCTAAGGAAATGTTCTGCATCCATGCGACTGCTTGAAGATGTATATCTATGAATCTATCTGTTTCCGTGTTGAAAATTGGTGGCTCGTTCGAACAGCTGCGGCTTGCATGATTACATACGGTAAGAAATAAATCCGAAGGCGTATCCAGCAGCAGCGCGTGAAAGACGGCTAAATAGATGACACAAACGGTGAGGATATTGGTTGGGAGAGTAACAATTTGAATTTTTTGTGACTTTTTGAAGGCGGTATTCCAACGACATACACGATGCGAAATTTATAATTGTATTGTTTTAAAAGTTCAAATGATCAGGCGCTTAGGATGTCCGCATGGCATTACTCTCGCATACAACAAAGAATGGCACTGTTGTTTCCCGATCACACTCCAGACCAGTCGTAGGGTTAACTCCACTTTCTCTTGTCCCAGACCCAAAAGAAAGTCGCCCCAGCGCACATCCGTTCACACACTCGCATACCCCGCTCTCTCCGACACCTCATAGATAAGAAGGCCTAGTTGCTGAATCATTCTGCGCCATCAAAGGAGGTCACCATAGAGCACCGCTTGGACAGGACTCCCTGGGGATTCCCTTTCCGCCATTCCCCGTTTCCCCAGCTCCATTGTCCCTAGAGTGCTCCCCACTTTTATGGTTCTTAGACGCCCGCGGCATATACCATAAATATCCGCAACCTCGGTGGTTCCAAGGCAGCGCGCCAATCTACGGATACCTAGTTGGCGGGTTCAAACTCCGGCCGAGGTGCCCCCGAGCTGACGGAGGCCAATTGCGCAGAAGGCGCCGTGTAGCCGACATTTCGGTTGCACGCCCAAAATGAACCAGGGCGGTCGAAATTTAAAGCGACATTCACACGAAGGAGAAATCGCGGGGAGCGCTTGGTGAAACCGGTAACCGAACCGATATTTCGCATGCTTGACTGGACCGGAACCGAACCGAAAGAAAATGTAAAAGTACCGAATCCAAACCCGAGCCGAATCAGAATAATGACCGGTTCAACATCCCCATAAATAGCCTTCCCAGATATGTGTTACAATCCTCATTGTTATATGTATGCAAATATCTGAAAGTTACACGAAGACTCAATTCATGGTAATAAAACCCGAGACTCAGGAACACAGAAGGGGACGAAAACAACACAACGCAACACAACGGCTCAAAACGTCCCCTTCTGTGTTCCTGATTCTCGGGTTTTATTACCATGAATCATCACCAGCTCGCTTGTTTTTTAAGTATTATTTCAGTAAGACTCAATTGCCGCAATTGTATTGCTGCCGTCTTTGGGCGGTGCCGTCTGCTCGCTCTGTTTTCTACTGGCACATGAGAACAATTTTGTTTATTTTACTCGGGCTTATATCTAGCCTCCTGTCAGGTATTGGGCAGGAGATCGAACTATAGGGGGAACTTTATCGAGCTTGTTGTCCCCACAGCCCGGTGTTTACTAACACAGAATAACAAAGAAATTGGACCTCGCCATGCACGGTCTGGACACGAGCGCCTCACTCTTACCAGTGCTTTGGTTGCAAGAGGAGTGGCCATTCGAATCAACACCATCCATATCGCTAATCAAAAACAAACAAGAAAATTCGGTTTGTTGTCCCCACAGCTGAAGCGTGCCGCCAGAGGCGTGACTGCTCGATCTCCTCCCCAATAGGGTGTATTCACTGGCGGCCATATCTGTGTGCGCTAATGCCGAGCACGTGCTGATGGCGAGCTTCCAGAGTTACTTTGCAACGTGCACCCCGCACCATCAAGATTGCCGGTCTTGGCAGCCTATTAATGCTAGCTCGTTCTGAGCATGCGCTCTAAACAGTGACCTCAAATATGGCGGCCAGTGAATACCCCCTATACCCCTGCTATAAGCTTACGCGCTGTTTACAATCAAGCCCGCGTTTGCACTCACCAGGTGTGGGCATTGCGCGCGCGCAGAAGCCAGATTCGCGCGAGAGGAAGCGTCAGCGCAGGCGCAGTGTTGACAGCAGTGCCACCGCAATAGCGTGACGTCAGAGCTATATGTATTGGTCTATACCAGGTCACAACCTTTCCTGTTTGTTTACGTCTCTGCTGCAGGGTACGATGTGGATCGTTTCGCTGAGCGCAATTTTCGGGACCGCCTTGGCGCTCGTTTTGGCTTTCTTATTGACGAGGAAGAGCGATGGACGTGGAAAAGCAGGATTGGTTCCAGGCCCAAGAGGTTTTCCGATTCTCGGACACTTGCCCTTCATGAGGAAAGGCATTCTGGGTGGCAAGTGCGTGGAATGGGCGAAGAAATATGGTCCTATTTTCAGGTGAGTTTCTCCCAAAGCGTGCTAATAAATATTGCCGAATGCGAAGCTTTCATCTTACTTACTTAAGGAATACTGTACCGAAGTTTATTTTTAGTTTCTAGAATATTTGTGTGTCAACAATCGCGTAAATATGGCGATAACTCAATATGCCTCCTCTATGTTTCCAAGAAATCCAGAAACCATGACGATACGCAACCGATTTTCCAATTAAAAAAAAAAAAGAAAAAAAAGAACGCAACATTTAGAGGTCATTTTCGGCAATGGAAGGAGCATATTCCGAAACCAGGACCACCGTCAGCCAACAGCAAGCGAAGGACCCTCGAGCCTCCGACCGGTGAGACCGCGGAGTGATAGGGAGTTTTAGTAGATCGTTTTCGAAGGCCCACAACCGCTACGGGCGCGCGCATCAGAGTATGCATCGAAGTGGCGACACGCGCTTTCGCTACGAAGAGCGTGGCCTCAAAACACAATCTACTAAAGCTCTTATATCTAGCGAAAGCTCGTGCTCCAGAACCCAGGATCCTGAATTCATTCCGGAAAGGACTTCGGTGTGTTCGATCTTTGATCGTTTTCTTAACCGGAAAATCGGCCACGCATCGTCGTGATTTATGGATTTCTAGGATGCATAGAGCCCGAAGAGTCAGTTATCGCCGTATTTAGGCGATCTCAGAAACCTCCTCAGGGCACCTTTAGGAAATTAATTCTGCTTTTAGTTAAACATATTGTTTTGTAACGTTATAAAATTTTTGCATTTGAAGAAAAAGGATGCGTTTTAAAGTCCTTTGAAACCAGCGTATATGTGGATTTCAAATATCTCTAAGTTTAATTTGAGGAACACATACCGACTTTGAATGACAAAATAAGATATGCATAAACCTAATAAATATGAACAGGGAAGGTATTTTAAAAGCATCTAATGTTTACGCCCGTTATAGCTTTTTGAGTGAAAGTATCCAGGAACCGTGAAGATCGATAATGAGTTTTCTGACCCTCCCCCCTTTCATTGGCCACGATAACGTTTGATGTGATATGGACAAATATTTAGACATTTCAAGGAACACAAAGGGTGTTTCGACGTTTCTGTTTCGTGTTAATCGCTCTTCCAGCCAACAATAGGAGGGAGGCTCAGGAATTGTAATTGCTGAGAGTAATGATATACGGAAATTATAATTCTCATTTGTGTGTTTGTGTGTGTGCGTGTGTGTGTGTGTGTGATGGGGGAATGAAAAACATTCGTTTATTTCTTATTCGTTGCTTTTTAAAAGAAAAGGCTAGATCTCTATATGCCATTATATAATGTCCAGTAGTACAGAGAGAGAATGTACAGCAACAGAAAGAAAAAGAAAGAGGAAAATGAAAATAAATATTTTTCAGAATAAAGGTCGGAGTGGTAGACATAATCATGCTCAACGATTATCCGTCAATCGAAAAATTCCTGTGCGAGAAAGAAGTTCTCTACCGCCCTGAAAACATGGTGTTCTGCGACAACGAAATCACCGGTAGGGGCACACCATTCCAACTAATGGTTGTTCACGCTGACGGAGTAATCAATCTTTCTTGATTCTAACTTTTCTATTTTTAATGCAAAATCTTTTATGACAGAAAGGATATTGTCATCACGAATGTTTTCTGGCGCTGAACTTGTATCATAGCGGTGTAAAGAAACTACCTCGCTGGGCATATTGACGAACTACATTTTGACTATCAAAACCAATTCGAAACATTATACCCGCGTATTTTTAGCACAACTATTTATTTTCATAATAACATGTGTTCAGATAAGGACTGTCATGGTGGTGTCATGCCTATTTTTTGCTTTCAGTCATATTTTTATATGAGGTAGCTAAACCTGTCCACACAACGGGCAGGCCTTACTTTTTCAAGGTACTTCCTTGTATTCATGAGAAAAATCGCATTCGAGAGAAGGTTGAAAAAACGATTTTCCCAACTACGCTATGACGCATAAAGAGTGCAGCTTTCTACACAGTACATTTTTTTATGGTTAATGCACGCATACTATACTGCTAGAATTCGTTAAATGTATCTTATATTACCTTATATTTAAAGCGGAATAAAATGTCGAACTTGGCATCTTGAGCAAATCTTACATAATATGTAAATTTTCGGCGAATTTTTAAGTTGCTTTAAAGTTATATTCTAAAGCTGAAACTTCTTTTGTCGAGTGTTAAATGCTTTGTAAATTTTCAGCAAATTAATTAGCGTTCTATTGTGCAAAGTGTTTTTTTGCATTACGCCCATAAATTTTGTCAAAATGGGAAAAGTAAAAACTTTGCGATATTTGTGCAGTAATTGAAAACAAATAATCATTGTCGATTTTCTTTAAATTTTAACTGATGAGCCCTTGATGATTGATAATTAGAAATATAAAAAAAACGTGTTGCATTATTTTGTCTTAAAAAATAAAAAAAATAAATGTATAACCAGGTCATGGTCGCATCAGTTACCGCTGGGGCGTTTCTGTCTTTGCGACTACTGGTACACAAGCGACGCATGCTACAGTATCCGTACTTGGCCATATTATTGCCCAGGCGCCATGAAGCACTCTAGAAATAACACGTGAACTTTTTTCCCTCGCTGATGTGGCTGATATTGCCAATGAATACTGAACTTTACGGCGCGTCCGATACTCATTACATTCGTTAGGGTGTTATACTTAGCCGGTTAGGTGCTCATCGTGCCACCTTTTCAGATTAGTACTTGAATAAGAGTACTTATCGGACAAAATAATTTGATCCGTTGTTCTAGGACCCGCTAGGACCGAGCGATGTTACGGAAGCCTTTGGCCCGACTGATAAAAGGCGTGCCGTGAACGGAAGGTTAAGCCGGTGGTATATTGTTGCATTGTAACGCATGGCGTAGCTGGACTCCAAGCCGGAGCATACTTGATTAATTGAAGACGTCAAAGGAAAACAAGTGTTTCTCGATGCAGACATTCCGACAAAATAAATGGCAGCCCCCCTGCGCCCGGATATATTAGACTCCTCTCGTTGAATCTCCTGAAGACCGACCCAGGCGTATATCACAGTTTTCCAAATTTCTATGCCCTTCAATATAAACAAGACCCCGCGGGACAAACGGCTCGAAGGCCTTCCTGCACCTGGTTTGATATATCGCGTTTTCAACCCCGCTCTTTTCGTCTCGCACGGAATACGGCCTGTGTGAACACGAAGTCTGCTCTGGACTTGAAGCCGTGTTGTTCGGTCTGCGATAAAGCGGATCGAGCCCGAGAAAAGCGACGGTGGCTGGCCTGGTACGTGCTGAGAAGCCTCCGCAAGAAGTGTGTGTGTGTGTGAGAATGTGTGGCTGGCCTCATCGAGCTCCCGACTAGCCCACTGTGGAATTCACCGGTACCACCCCCTTCGGAGAATGCAACGGAAGAGGCCGTATAATTACCGGATAGTGAGAGATTAGACACTTCATCCACCCGCTAGCTCCTCCGTATTGCAATCTGGTAGGTATTGTAATTCAGGATTTTAGAAGTTCAGCTTTCAATTGTCTAGTAAATATTTTTTTTCTGTGTATTTGCTAGGTATTTTTGCATCTGGCCGTCCGCGCACCGGCAGGGTGATGTGCTAAGGCTATTGATTGCCACGTTTCGGTACTTGTGAACCCATTATATTATTTTTGTTTCTATTTAAATCATCGATTTAATTATACTCCCGTTATTTTAAAACTTGTACGTGTTACGTCCTCTTTAGTGTCAAGACCTCACCGCAGTGTAGGCCGGTCAACTGAGCAGCAGTTCTTTCTTAATTTTCTGCTTATAGTGAACCACGAACCTGTGCGCGTGTTACGGCTTACGGCATTTAATGGCGGCGCTTTCTGATTCGCACCAAGAGCGTTCTAATTGCAAATGAACATCTGCAGGTTTTCGCACTCTATGAATTTCATAAAAATATTTCCAAAGATCGATAAATCTCTTGTCCCTCTCGACCCAGTCACAGATAATGACTTTTCTGATCGTGGATGAGGCGTCGCAAAATATCCTGTTGGAGCAGCTTGAGTAGCGCCCGAGCGAACACTTCGACGCTGAACCGCTTACACTACATAAATCTCCTCTAACTCAACCTTGATTTACACGGATTCGCCACTGTTTTTTTTAGATGTAAGCTGTTATCGTTCCGTCCTAGACATACCCGCCGTCGGTCGTGGCAGAAGCTTCCGCAATGTCGCTTGTTCCAAGCGATGCCTAGTAAAGTGAATCAAACTATTTTGTCAGCAAGCTTTCTAGCGATGCCCAGAAATACGAATCAAATCATTTTGCCAGCCAGGTACTAACATTAAAGTACTAACTTGAAATGGTAGCAGAATGAACATCTAACCAGTTAAGTATAACACCCTAATATGGATCGGACGCGCCGCAACGTTCGATTTTTATTGTCAATATCAGACACATCAGCAATGAAACCAAGTTCACGTGCGATTTTTAGAGTCCTTCGTGGCGCCTGGACATTAATATGACCAAGTACGCGGCTACTGTGTCATGCATCGCTCGTGTACCACTAGTCGTGAAGACAGAAACGCTCCAGCGGCAATTGATGCGACCATGACCTGGTTACACATTTATTTTCTTATTTTAAAACAAAATAATGCAACATGTCTTTGCAGATTTGTAATTAATGGTCATCAAGGATCAATAAGCTGAAAATTAAAAAAAATTAAGAATAACTATTTTTTTTAATTGCCGCCCAAAAATCGCAAAATGTTTACTTTTTTGATTTTGACGAAATTTCCGGGCGCAATGCAGAAAACGCTTTCAAGAATAGAACGGTAATTAATTTGTTAAAAGTTTACAAAGCAGGAAACACTCGACAGAAAAGTTTTCAGCTTTAAAATATAAACTTAAAGCGACTTAAAAATTCTCCGAAAAATGCCTCATTAGGTAAACTTTGCTCCAGAAGACAAGTTTTGCATTTTATTTCGTTTTAAATATATGCTCATATAAGTTAACTTTAACTAATCCTGACTGTAAAGTATGCGTGCATTAAACGTAAAAACGTCAATTGTATAGAAAGCTGCATTCTTTATTCCTCCAGCCTTCAAATTTGCGTCATCGCGCAGTTGGGAAAATCGTTTTTTCAACCTTCCCTCAAAGAGGATTTTTCTCACGAATACAAGGAAGTATCTTGCAATAGGAAGGTCTTTCCCGTTGTGTGGTCAAGGTTTGCTAGCTCATATAAAAATGTGACTGAAAAAAGAAAAAAAAAACAGGCATGACACCAACTTGACCGTCCTTATCTGAACACACCCAATAATGTTTTTTTTTTCTATTCGTACACAGGTTAAAAAGCATGTTTGCAGATTAACAACGCATACAGTGCATTGATGATCCGGAATCGTGTAAATGCAAGCACTAATATTGTTTCTTTCATAAGTATCACACCTTCAACTCCAAATGTTACACCGGCGATACAACGCCGATGTATTTCAATGAAGTACCTTTTATTTGCTGGTAATGTCCCAGCTCTGGTTATTGGTTAGTAGTGCTTAAGACGAAGTTACGGTTGAATAGGCTAATATAAACATGTATCACGCGTAAACAAATCGTAGAGTAGAGAATATTTTAACGTGCTTCACAGTTGTTTATTGAAATAAAACCTTTTCTTTATATAATAACGTATACATCCGTGTATTCTGATAGCAACATATTTACCAGATAAAACTTGACACAAAAGCCCAGTAGACGGTTACACTATAGAATCTCTATTCGCACTGTCTACCGAGGTTCATTTTTTTTTTCTCGTTCCACGATTCGTTTCTTGCAGGATTGGCTACCCTAAACGGACAGGCGTGGCTGGACAACAGGCGCATCTGCATTCGCGTTCTCCGTGATATGGGTTTTGGAAAGAAGCCCATGGAGGAGCACATCAAGGTAACGGCACACGGAGTATAGTATAGTTTAGCCGGTTCCAGCATACACTCGTCGGGGACAGCATTAGAATTGGAATTGATGAAGTATACGTCCAATAAAATAGTTTAAGCTGTTTACATCTGTAACACTACGGGGAACATATCTTTTCCTTGCCTTGTTCTGAAAATAAACTGCGGCGACAGTCGAGGTAGTGCACACTTTTCTGCGCACTTTGTTGCATGGAACAAAGTGCGAAGCGAAGTGTGCGGCGCCTTATCCCGATAAATTTAGCGGCAAAACGATTTCTCCGCTAAAGATAGATGGGAAGATTTTGGGACAAGTTTAGCGAATACACGTTTCCGCTAAATTTTGTGAGCAATATTTTCCTGCTGTTAAGCGGAAAAATGTTTTTGTTTTTGTTTTACAGTTTAGTGTTAACTTTAGCGAGAACATTTCTTCGCTCAATCTAGTGAAAAAAGTTATCCAGCTAAATTTTGCCGGAAACGTTTTTGTGGAGTTATGTGCCGTTTAATTCTGAATTTAGCTGGAAATTGCGAAATAGTTTTCTGCAATATTTACCGAGAAATTTTTTTTAGAAATTTTGGGAAATATATTTGCTTGCTAAAGGTGGTGAAAACTTTTCTGAGTTTTATTTAGCCAAAGATACGTTTTCCTAAAAATTTACCGGCAACTTCTTCCGTAAATCTATCGCTGAATCCAGGCTCCCCCTCCTTCCCTAAATTTAGCGGAATATTTTCCGCGCTGAAGTTCATGAGAAAGTTTTTTGATAAATTTATTGGAGCCGCCACGACCTCACACAAATCACTCCCTGATCCGCTGCAAAACCTCGGCAAAAAACGCTATCGCCGAAAAAAAAAAAAAAAAAAGCCAATCCAAGTACGTCTTTTTCCAATACTACGTAAGAGACAAGGCCTATGTATGACGTCATCACTCGTGGATTCCACGCAGCGCCGCCTTGCTTGCGTCAGCATCGCCGCCAGCGCGCGTCTTGCAGCGTTTCACAACGACGTAAGACGGACGCGTCTGTCGCTTTGCGGAGCCTCTCGTCAAGCTTGAGAGTGTCTTCCGCTGGGGTTGGGTCCACCATCCACCAACGATGACGTCATGTTTTCTAGGTGACATCGATTCTCCGCCCTCTGTCTTTTGATCCGCAGGAAGAGTCCCGGCACCTGGTCAAGAGGCTAGAAGGAACCGACGGCTCTGCCGTCCTAGTACAAGGGCACGTCGCCGCGAGCACGTCCAACAATGTGTCGGCGCTGGTGTTCGGCAGCCTCTATGACTTCGAAGACCCTAGACGGAAGGCCATGGTCGAAAATTTGGAGGAATTTATGAAGGCGTTAGGCACGGGCGCCATGATCGAGTTCTTTCCCGAATGGATCAGGGCCGTAGTTATGGCTCTCCCTTTCGCGAGAGTCGTCGCCATCAAGAAAGTCATTAGGAACCTTATAGAGCTCACCAGGTAAGGTCATCGTACGGGACATCTGCATGTTTTTTTTTTTTCTTTTCATACGGGCATTCTAGAAATTGACAGTTCCCACTGTTGCTGAACTGTAAGAATTGTGATATTGCAGAAATGAAGACAAAGACAAAACGAGTTTATTCACATAAATGAAATATACACTATAAAGGAAATGCAGTTTCAATTGCGATTCGTGATTTGGGATATGGCTAGTCTTTGTTGTAACTAACCGTGAACGTTTTGAATGATTTAGACAACAAAGTTGTAGCATTTATTCCTAGCATTAGCATAACCTGCTGATTTTATCTAATGAGATGCCGAACGGGAAGACACTGCGGTGGAAAGACATGTTTATTTATAGTTTCAAACGAGACAATTGGTAAAGTTTTGAAGTGAAAAGTGATAATTCACCATTTTGAAAGCAACGTACAGGTTCCCACTCACCACTCTTCTTTATTTCAGGGAGCTACGTGACTTTTCCGCATTATTCACGGATTGCATCATGTTACATGATTATAACAAATCCCGGAGAAAAGCTCACCAGAGAAAAACTCACCGGAGAAAAGTTCACCGGAGAAAAGTTCACCGGAGATAAGCTCACCAGAGAAAAGCTCACCGCAAAAACGGCAGATGCGGAGAAAAGCTCACCGGCCATTGAGCGTATGCGGAGAAAAGCTTTTCTGTGGCTTACTTTAGAGGCAACGAAAGCCTGACTAAAAACTTTATGAACTTGAAGAACAAAAAAAAGTTAAAAAATTTAATGATGTCTGCCTAAAACCTAAAAAATCAAAGCTGTAACTGCCGAAAATTCAAAAGTCTATGCGCAACAACGCGGTGCTTGAAATTCTCTTTGAAGCTTCCTTTGAAAATAGGATAAAACAGTCAATAGGATATCGAGGCTTCTTTCTTCCATGGACATGCACGCTTTCTAGCCGTTCGTGCTGGTGTTTTCACACGTTCCCCTTGTGTGATACTAAGTGACCTTCTACGGTGAGCCACCCATGACCTTCGGAGCTGCGCAATGGCACCGTTGTTACTCGTAATCTATAGAAGAAGTAGTCTACTGTTATGCAGCGAATAGGGCGAATTGGTAAACGTTATACATGATGAAAACCGCTCAAATGACGACGACGGTGTGAAGAAAACAAACATGAGAAGCGAAGCTGTTCTCGCAACTAAGGTTTTGTTAGTCAAATTAACAGAAAGAAAACAGCGTAACCGACACTGATTACATCAACAAACACCTTCTTATCTATTAGGCACTACACAATATTTGGAGCTGAACCGGTTCACACACCGCTATTCGTTATAGCTCGCAAAGAGCAAACCTCTTTATCTGACAGATTTAGCGACGGCGCGCTGTCAGCTGTCAATAAATTGTTGCCTTTTTTATCGGTGTACGATATTTTGATTTTATGCTTGCGGTTTTATTAATTGATAGAATGGGTGATTACTAATTTCTGAGGAATTGGTAAATATGCCAAATGAACTTCAAGAATATTACAAAAAAGAGGACATATTTTTAATGAAGTGACGAATGAGAATTGCGTTAAATTGCCACGTTTAACGCAGAATCAAGCTAAAAAAAAATATATATATATATCGGTGAGCTTTTCTCCGCCTCCGCTCAAAGGCCGGTGAGCTTTTCTCCGCATCTGCCGGTTTTGCGGTGAGCTTTTCTCCGGTGAGCTTATCTACGGTGAGCTTTTCTCCGGTGAGCTTTTCTCAGGTGAGCTTTTCTCCGCCGCCCGATTATAAGAGGTTGCATAATATACCAAATCCTATTTCGGTCGATCCTTTTCAAATTAGGAAGTAAGAAAAACAAGTGCGTTCACTGGAGAAACAGGGGAAGAAGGAAGACGAAGATCTGGAAAGATAGTATTTAGACTTCTCTGTTGCCACAAGTTTTTCCTTCTCCGAGAAGCAAGGTCGATGTCTATTTTGTAAAACCTTCACATTGATAGTGTGTGCCGTGCTTTATTTTTGTCCCAGAGTATCCTGCTTTTTGTAAAATAAGCAGCCACTAGATGGAGTCTTTTCTGTACAACCTTATTTTTTGTGTAGACTTTCTTATTGTCGGGTCCTACCTGCAAAGAGTTTAATATAAATGCAGGTGTAAAATGTATCTGGGATAATCCGTTTTGTAAAGAACGTTCAAATAATAGCTTTACATGTTAAATGCCTGACAACGGCCATTGTGATGCCATATACTAATACTATTCACGTTTACTCTTACATTTAATTCGTATGAATGCATACAGTCAACATGTCAAGGAGCACGAGGATACTCTCAATCACCACATCAACCGAGACTTTATTGACGGATACCTAAAGAAAATGAAGGAACACGAAAATAATCTGGCATCAAATTTTAATAGTAAGTGGTACTGAACAACATCTCGATTAAATAATTATTTAGTTTTATGAAAGTCAGAAAGTTACCATTTTAGAGATGCCTAAAATATAAACTTAAAGTTCAATATAAGCCAAAAAATTTAGGAGTTAAAGTGCATTGTGTGTTTGAGCGAACTGGGTCTCCCGAAATACGTTTAAAGGTAACGGTTCGTAAGCTTATGGCCAGTTTGAAGACCGTATGTCAACCAAAGTGAAGTTAAGACCAAAACTGTCGCGAGCTTTTTATGTTTATAACTGTTTTATAGTTATGTATAAAGATAGTCGAACCTCCAACGATAACTTCTGCTGTCACCTTGGCTGATTCCACGTTGCTTTTCTTGCTTTCATCAGCTTCTTTTGGGATCGAGATATCTTTTTACCATATCCATTTCGTTAGCGCGAATTCAAACGAGTATGTAATTGCTAATTAGATGACAAGGTTGCGCTAAATCCTCCCCACTAAGACATCTGCCAAACTCTGGCGAGCAAGTAAAAAAAAAAATTAGCACTATAGAAAGAACTAGCAGGGAGTAGACCATATGCTAGCTCTTCGCGTTCCTTTGCACCGTGCGACCAACGATGAAAGATTCCACCTTACATCCGACCGCAGCGGATGTCGCGAGCCATCCCAGACGTTCACACGGAATTAGATTGGCTTGGATGGCTTGTAGCATGGGCTGCGGCCGGACGTAAGGTGGAACGTCATTTCGCCCGCAAGGCCCGCAATCCGCAGCGTGCGGGCTACTAAAACTCTCGATTCTTTGAAGCATCTATATGTTTCCCGTAATCCCCTGGCTTTCGCTTCATGCAGGAACCTACCTGGTAGGCAACGTGCTTAGCCTGTTCGTAGCAGGGGCGAGCTCTGTCTCTTCCTTCGTGCACTGGCACATGCTAAATTGTGCCCAAAGCGTAGATAGGGTGCAGTATCGGATCCAAGAGGAGATCGACAAAATCGTGGGCCGAGATCGCCAGCCGACGTGGGAAGACCGTCATCGGATGCCGTACACCGTGGCCGCCATCTGGGAGATGTACCGCTGCAAACCCACCCTCACCCTTCCACGAGCGTGAGTGTGTCTTTGCGCAGTGACATCACTATGCCTTTTGTTCATTTATATTCTTGAATTATAGATTAAGTATAGGTTTGCGACTAGGTGCCGCACACTTATATAGACTTTAAAAACCTAGACGATTAAAAAAACAAGGGGATTATTAGCAAGGGATCGGGCAACATTTTGAACTGGACGATATGTAAAAAAAAAAAAAAAGTTAAAAGGAAAAAAAAAAAGTTCGGGAAAATGAGATGCTGCAGACGATGAAAAAGAAGCGGCTTTATGTGAGCCAGTAGAAGGCGCTTGACATTCCACTGAGATGTATGTCTGACGGCCGAGTTCTGGCACCGAAGTGAACGCGATAACAAAAAAAAATAATCACCCGATATTCATTTTTTGTTATTGAGCAAGGTGTCTCCCCTTTTTTTAGGTATTGTATTTTACAATGCGCTATACCACCTAAAACGTAAAGCACCTAGAACAGGTGACTGTGGGAATTGTGCGACTGCTGAGTGTTACTAAATTTGCGTGATTATGTTTCTTGACTGCAAAAGCGGTATTTAACCAAGAACTTGTGAGAAATGTGAGAAAGAATGATAAGCAATTCTGCGTCTTTTGAAGCTCCATCCAAACCAACACTCGCAGCGTGTGTACCGATCGTTGGTAGAGTGACACTGGTACTATAACATCACTGCTGTTTGTCGCGGTGCTTGACATCGTGTTAAACAGCTGAAGTTCACTAGCTTACATAATCAATCCTTAAAATCGGTTCACAGCAAAAGCTGCTGGACTACAGCATGGCGAACGCTCAAAAGAGACATTAAAAGGAGACTGAAAGATCGTGTGCGTAACCATCCGCTAACCTTGCCGGTCGAGTGTAGTGTATAATGTTACGCCTGTCGGTTCGGTCTGGCCTGGCAGGCTGGAATGGCCTCGGAAACTGACCAAGACTGGCAAACTGGCTTGACGGGCACATTCATGTTTATATCAGTTGGACAGGCCAGGTGCTTCCTGGACTTTTTTCTTTCTGGGTTCACCATTGAACACATCATATTTCAGTGTTGGAGAAGACACTTTCTTCGGCAAGTATTTTGTGCCTAAAGGAACTGTGGTGATGCGTAATGTCTGGGCTGTGCACATGAGCTCGACGCTTTGGAAAAACCCCGAGGAGTTCGAGCCGTCCAGGTTTCTCTCAAGAGACGGCTCCAGGCTTCTGAATAGGCCCAGATATCTCATTCCTTTTTCCGTTGGTAAGTGTGGTGTTGAAGGAAGATATTTGTGTATCTCCTATTGGTATCAGTTAGGAAATAGAGATTGGTTTCAGTATTACTTTATATACTCGTTAGCCTTACACAAAATTTTGTCATCTTTCACTATAGCTCTCGCAAAAGGAAGTCGAATGTTACATGCACTTGTGATATACAGATAACCAAAAGTTTCTCAATTATTTGGAAAGGGTTCATGAGTTCGCGGAAGCTGTTAATAACCGAGGACAAACGAATGCTTTCTTCATAAGGTTTTCGAAGGCGTTTGACTGTGTGCCCCCTAGTAAACTAATGCATAAACTCGAAGCTATCGGTATTAACGCGAATATTTTATCCTGGATAGAAGCGTACCTTAGCGCATGTGTACAATTGGTAAAAATTAGTGATCCATGTTCAACAATATTCGACGTATACTACAAAGTACCAAAACGTTCGGTGCTGGAGCCAGTATTATTTCTTATTTATGTAAACGACTTGGGTAGGGATATCGATCCATCGGTGACGGTCAGGCTATTCGCGGATGACTGTGTAATGTACTGTAAAATAACTCAAATGGACAACAAAGGAAAGCTGAATGCGTCATTACAAGCTATGTTACGTTGGCGCCATGACTGGAATATGAAGATTAATCATGATCAATCGGTTGTCATGACAGTAACGGTCAAAAAATAAGTTTTTGATGTTACAAAATTTCGGCATTCCCATTAATGAAAACAGACACAGCTAAATTTCTTGGGGTTGTAATATTACGGGACTTAAAATGGGACACACATATCAATTACATCTGCAACACGGCTCACCGAAAATTAGGCTTTCTGAGAAGAAATGTAAGACACTCAACGCTAGAATGTAAATTAGCTGCTTATAAGATACTAATTAGATCTACATTAGAATATTCAAGCGTCGTGTGGGATCCTTACCAAAACTACGTATCAAACGCCATCAGTAAAATTGAAAATTGATGCTTGCGATTGATCTTCTCAAACTATAGACACACGGAAAGTATGACGGTTTTGCTTAAAATATCCGAATTGCAAACACTGAAAACGAGACGAAGAACTGCCCGATTGAAATTCATGCATCAGTTATACCACGGTTACCTCAAAATAAATTCGGATCAATATTTAAAAGAACACCATACAGTCACTCAGATCGAACTAACCACACTAAAATTATAAGACCGTATCACAGCAATAATGACGGATTAAAATACTCATATTCTGTTCAAACCATAGAAGATTGCAATTTGCTACCGGAATAATTGGTCCAAATCACTGGATCGCAGTTGTTCGCTGACAGACTGACTAAGCATTTCAATGATCTAAACTCTTTTCATGTGCAGTGTAAAATTATGCCTTGTTTATTCGAGTGAATGTGGTGAATTTGCATTGCTAAAGTATTTTTATATTCTTATATTGAATATTTTCCGCTGATTATCGGTTATTACAAACGTTTTATATGGTGTCGTTTGGTATTTCAAATTTTGGATTTACGCAGTGTGCGCAGTGACGTATTGTTTTAATATATGCTTGTACAATACCAGGGCCTACGAAAATACCTGCAGTATCTAAAATAAAGAAAATAATTAAAGAGGTAAAAAACAGGTTTTATTCTTGACCGATTTGTATATTTAATTTTGTTATAGAATAGCATTTTCACCGAATAAGTATACTGGTAACCTTGCCCTACTAGACTGCATGTCAAGCCAATATTGCCTTTTGAGTAAGAATTGACATGTTGACTTCAATCCGCACCATATTTAAAAGGTCATAAAATGAATATCTGAAAATTATAACGCATGTGCATATTTGGTCTTGATAAATAAATGTTTTAAAACATTACCCCTATGCAGCCTAGATTGAATGCTTTTTATTTTATAGTTGTAGCATCATAACTTAAGTTTCTCATTCGATACTGTATCCTGTCGTTTGCGAACAGTGGAAGCAAGCTGAATATGCTTTCGATCCGCACTGCGCGTCGCGAGCTCATATTATGCATACAGAAACCAATCATAAGTTTCTTCAGCATTTGTGTTGATATCGAGTCCTGTCTCTTATTTTAATTGCACATTAAGAAAGGAAAAAAAAAAAAAGAGATGCCGAAATTTTTGTTGTTGTTACGCTGATTCTCGACGAAATGCGTTAGCGTTTAGCGCAGAGGTTTCGACTCGGCGAAGGATGGGAATTCCAACCTCACGAGGGTCTGCATACTGCTTTCTGTTTCTTCGGAGTGCCAGTCTATTCTCCCGGGCCTCGGCGGTTTCGGATGCAACCACGACAGCTTCCCTCGAACGCCGCCTACGATCCGCATACTGTTGTCCTCGAAGAGCCAATTTTTCCTTCCAAGAGTCGGTGGTTTCGCGCAAACAGCGTCGTCGCTGCGTCTCGGTTTTACGTTGTCGCGTACGTTTTGCCACCACCACGGCCGCTCGATCCCCTCTTCTCCCGCTCATGCGGCGCGTCGATGGAAACGTGCCACGAATACTCTTTTCCTCTTGTAAGAGAGAAAGTGAACGTAACGAGGGAACGAACGGACGGAGCGAAAGAGCACGGCGGGAATTGCGCACCGCGCCGCACCGCGCGCGCAGTTACTCACGAAATTAGTTCAGACCAGTCCAGTACATTCCAAACCAATCCAAACCAAACAACGACCGTCCGAACGAAAGACATGCTGCGTGCACCAGGGCAACACATTCTAATGCATTAAAAGAAAAACTGATTGCCCACTTAATCACGTTTGGATCACAAACACATTTGCAAAGACGAGAAACATGCGTCTAGAAAAGGAAAAAAAAAACCCCGTAAAACCCTACCGGCTGATGCAGGATAGAAACGGGCACAGCTCTGTGGATCATCCCTCAATTTATACTTGAGGAAAAGCTACTGGCAGCTTCCATGTGGGGTCATAAATCTTAGAATAATGAAAACAAAAACCATAAGGGCTCAGAACTCATATTGGTGGCTCCTGTTGAACGCTGTATGAACCGCACCTACTGCAGCGCATAGTGCGTAGACCAAAAGCTGGCACTGCAGAACACAGGATGCCTAATAATCCTGGCTTGAATTCCCGCCACTAGAGGCTTAGATATGCGCGGGCAATACGCAGGTGGGCGGGCCACTAATGATTGCTGCGTTTGGCACATTAAAACCGCAGGTTAGCTCTCGTACGGCTGTATTCAATTCATTATTTCATTCATTTATTTAATGATCCCTCAAAGATACATAAAAAGTACATTCCATAAGGGGGTACAAGAAGGCAAATTTGAACAACAATCAAATCCGAAAAGAACGGCTGATTAATCAGGAACATGGTGGATATTTTGCCAGACCTGCAGGTTACGGAAGAGGGTATTTTTGCGTTGCTACTAGATATGGATATAAAAAAAAAATCAGTTGGTCCAGACGAAATAACCAACGCCTTCCAAAAGCGGTACGCGGAGTGGGTTTCTAAACATTTCTTTATTACCTTCAGTGCTAGTTTAGAAAAATGCGGAGTACCATTAGATTGGTTATCAACGAGGGTCGAGCCAGTTTACAAATCTGAAGATAAACATTCAGTTGAAAATTATCAGGCCATTTCGCTCACGTGTACATGTTCCAAACTACAAGAGCATATTGTTTAAAAAGAGTTGTTTAAGTTTTTAGAAAACTCCAGTGCCCTTCTTTCAAACCAGCGTGGGTTTCGAAAATCCCTGTTTACTGTGACCCAGCTCACTGAAACATTGCATGACTTCACCACCTCCGTGAATACTAGAGGGCACATCGATGCAATATGCCTAGATTTGTCGAAAACCTTCGACCGAGTACCCCATCCTAATCTTATAAAAAATGACTAAATCTAGAGATAAATCAAAAAGTTTTCTTGTGGATCAAGGCCTACCTTACAAATAGAAAGCACTTTGTAGGAATAAGCAAATCAAACTCAGCTTATGTCAGCGTTCCCTCGGGCGTTCCGCAGGGGTCTGTTTTGGGACCCGTTTTATTCTTGTGCTATATAGACAATATAGCAGAAAAGGTGTTACGGTGCGCCTGTTCGCAAACAACTGCTGGCTGTAATCGGTTTTTTCTTGCCACGATGATCAGGTCCGGCTTAACTCGGCGCTGCAGACGGTAGCAAACTGGTGTAAGCAGTTAAAAATGAACATTAACTCAACTAAAACTGTGTATTCGGTTATAAGTAATAAAAAGCAAAACATTCTTCCATTCGTATACAAGCTTGAAAACCACCCTTTAGCTCAGGTTTAAATATTTAAATATGATTTTAAATATCTTGGCCTTACTATATCATCGAACTTAAACTGGAAAACGCACGTTGACAATGTGTGCTCAACTGCTAGGAGGAAACTCTGTTATCTCAAGCGCAATATCAAGCTCGCTCCCCCCGAAACGAGACTAACTGCTTATACGGCACTAGTACGGCCAACTCTAGAATAGGCGTCTATAATTTTGAATCCTTTTAGAGCCTATCAGATAACTAAACTTGAAAAAATGCAAAGAATGGCAGCCGGATTTATATTGTCGAGAGATCAAAGAAGATAATTGGTGCAGGAAATGCGTAACGACCTCACACAGATCTGTGACTGCAGGAAAATAGCTCGCCTAAAATTATTTTATATGAAAAAAAAATTGTCTTTATTTTTAATACTGACCCTTACATATTTACTCGACAAAGCAAGACCTCAGAGGCAAACACTTAAACCAATACCTACTAGATACGGCAAATAATGGTACATATAAATACTCTTTTTGTTTCAAGAACTATATGAGACTGGTACAACCTACCTCAAGAATCCACAACTGTAAATACACTAATATTCTTAAGGCCTATTGAACCGTTTCGATAAAAATTAACCAATCACTAGTGTTTCATATTCACATAAAATCATTAGATTTCTTTTTTTTTGTGCGATTATATTGTGTGCATCCTTGTTTTGTGACTTTTTGAAGACATGAATTCAGTGTCGAGCGATGTGTATTTCTATAAATGTATCAAACACTTGTCCTACTGTGTGTGTAGGGACATTTTTCGTGTATTCACGTATGTTTTTACGTGTATGATTTCGACTGTAGTTGCCATTGTATCCGTATTTTGTTTATTTATCAAATGTATTTCTACGCTTTGTACACTCCTGTAACAACCTTATCAGGCTAACAGTATGCATAAA